GAGGTAAGTCACCGTTAAAATTCACGGTTTACCGTCGAAGTGGCTCTGGCGCCTAGGATGGACGCCCAAACCGTAGCCTGGACGTCCAAGCCAGACGCCAGAACCACCAGAGTGGCGTCCAGCCCAGACGCCCAGACCACTAGAGTGGAGTCCAGCCCAGACGCCCAGACCACCAGAGTGGCGTCCAGGCCAGGCGCCACTCTACTGGCTGAGGCGGCCCTGCCAGGCGCCAGTCCACACGCCACCCTTATAAATTAAATTTTTTTTTTTCTTTTTTGATTTTGTTGTTGTTTTTTATTTATTTATTTATTTTTTTAAAAAAAAATCGAAAATGATTTTTTAAAAAAATTCGAAATGGGTTTTTTTTTAAATTAGTTTTGAAAATTCGAAATAGGTTTTTTTAAAATTAAGTTTGAAAATTCGAAAATTCCATGGCAGTAGGCGGTGGCACATAATCATCATTGCTGTGGTCGAGATCTGCGATCAACCTCGGGTGCGAATACCGGTTGAACCATTCCATGTAGTAATGGTCACACATGGGAGGAACCCCAGAAGGCGGCCGCTGCAACTCCGCAGTCCATAAGCGGGCCACCATCGGAAACTGGTCCCACGTCCCGGTCATGATATCCGGCCATTGCATGACGTAGTCCCTTGACGATGCAGGTCGGACCGCCTTCATCGGGCATGCCGGGGGAGGAGGGACAACTTGGACAAATCCAAGCTGGCGAAGACAACGCTGGGGCATGTACGCCTCGACGATCTCACGATACTGAATGAGTCCCGTGTACAGGGTCCTGGGTACCCTAACACTAGGGTTCGGGCCGAAAGACATCCAGTTCACCTACACATAGTTTTAAAATTTAATAACATGAATATAATATGTGCAAATAATAAAATGTAGAAACAATTTATAAACGTTACCTCTAAGGGGACAGCCTGTCCAGCAATAACCGTATCGATCGGAGGCGGTCAACGGACTTCTTCTCCGAGCGCGGACTCCACGCACAAGCACGCGGCATCCCCTCATCAATAGGAACCGGGTCACGATGTGGTCGCAATGCAGGAAAGTACTCGTATATCCAGGTCTGCAATAGAGTCATACACCCAGTGATACCTGCCGCGTTAGCCCGACTCGCAAATCCTAGTTGGCGATACAAATACGCCAACGTAGCCGATCCCCAGGAAAACTGGCCTACACTGTCGGGGTCACACGCCTCTACTATGTCGCGTGGCCTGAGCTTGTTTCCGCCGCTCTTATCCGGAAACAAGGTACATCCGAGGAGTAGAAAAACATAAGCACTCAGCTGTGCGTCGTGCGTCCTACGTGCACTGGGGTACAAACACCGCTGCAACACGGATGCGATCTTCACACCTCCGTGTTCCCAAACACCTAGCGCCTCGGTGTACAGTGCAACCCTGTCCACCGCCAACAACTCCGCCAGCAAATCTGCCTGATCCGCATCAGCCACAGCACAAAGTCGTTTACCCTCAACACGAATCCCCAGAATGGCCTCGACGTCATGTAACATGATCGTCATCTCACCGAACGGAAGGTGGAAAGAGTTTGTATCTGGCTGCCATCGCTCAATGAAAGCCGTGATCAGCGTACTGTCAATCTTATCGTGCATGGTGGCAGGAACGTGATTCACCCCAGTGCCCTCCAGTCGCTCGAACATCTCGCTCTCCGCCGGCCAAGCCTCAGCCCATGTACGCAAAAAGCTACAAGTCTTTTCCCGGGTATGACATTTCAACAACCCCGTAACTGAAGGCCTCTCCTGGTCCTCCCAAATACGGGCAGCTATGTGTCCTAGAAAGCTAGGAATCACACTCCCGTCAACAGGTCCACCGGGCACCTCACTCCTAACAACCCAAGAATCATTACCGGCCCTCGACCGTTTCCTGCTTGCCCCAGATACAGTGGACGCAGATGATGTGCCAGATCTACTAACAAACCTACCACCCCTACCCTTACGCACCTCCACCATATGTGTCTTGTACATGTCATCAACCCTCTGACTGAATGGACCGTAATCATCATACGGTCCACTGCCATCGTCCACATCCTCATCCTCATCTGCGCCCTCCTCCTGCTCCTCCTCCTGGTCACCCTCCTCAGCATCATCATCGTCATCGTCATCCTCATCACGACGGTGGATCCGTTCTCTACGAGCTGAGGCCGAAATACCACGGGATCTGACATGTCTATGCCCCGACCTCTCCACTGAATAGCTTCTACTAAGAAGCTCTATATTCTTCCCCGCACCATGACGACCCAGTGAATTCTACACAAAATTTTAAAATATATAAACATACAAAAATTTATACGAAAAATAGCTACCACTACCCAAATCAAATAAACTAAAAACATACTAACAAATTAACATAATAAAGAAATTAACAAAACACTTAAATAAAAATAATAGAATAAAAAATACACTTAGAAAGGAAATAAAACCAACACAGAAGAATATATATAAACATAAATAATTCATTCCCAATTAAAATAAATTAACTAACCAAAAACAATATCAATAATAAAATTTAAAATAAATTAACTAACCAAAAACAATATCAAAGTCACAAAAAAAATTTAAAAACAAATCAAAATAGAGAATATAAATAAAAATGTACAAAAAAAACAAACAAATAATTGTAAACATTTATAAACATAGAAAAAATACAACAAAATTGAAAAAATTTATAAAAATAAACAACAAAATATAAAAACAATTCAAAAAGATATTACACACAAAAAAAAAAACAAATATAAAAAAAAAGAAAAAAAAAGGGGGGCGCCTTGGCTGGACGCCCAGCCAGCGGTGGTGGCGTCAGCTGCAGACGCCGCCACCAGTGGGCTGGCGCCTGGGCTGGACGCCACAGCCACGGCTGCGGCGCCTTGAATAAACGCCACAACCGTGGCTATGGCGTCCAGCCCAAGCGCCAACCTACTGGTGGCGGCGTCTGCAGCTGGCGCCACCACCGCTGGCTGGGCGTCCAGCCAGGGCGCCCCACCTCCGTCACGGCGGTTTTTCCTTTTCCTTTTTTTTTTTTTTAACAAATTGTACCTTGCCTCCTTGGGACCTCCTTCCCTCCGCCGCCGCCGCCAATTCCTTGCCTTGCCGCCTCGACATTGCCGTTGTTTGAATTTTTTTTTTTTTTAGAGAGGTTGAAAGAAGATGAGCGATGAGAGTGTGAGTGATGAGAGTGTGAGTGTTTTTTTTTAGGTCAAGGGCAATATTGTCAAACCAAGTGAATTTTGTGGGCTTTATGTAGTAATTTGTGGGCGATGTTTAACAAATCCCTAAACTTTTGCTGACTAGACAAGGTCTCTCAATTTTTTGGTCAAAAACACCAAGAGTGGTGGTTGAGGGACCAAAAGTGCACAAATGAAAATTGAGGGACTATAAATGCACAAATACGAAAGTTTAGGGACCGTATTTGTGCTTTACTCAAGCCAGAGCTAAGCAAACTCTTTTTTTTTTTTTTTTTTTTTAACTCTCCATTTTTTACTTACCTTCGTTAAATGTTAGAAATTGATTTTAATAATCGCACTTTTAGCCAATTCTCTATTAATAATACTACATTTAAATTATTTGCTCAAAAAAAAAAAAACTACATTTAAATTATTATTTAATAATTCTATCTTTATAGGATCTACTTTTATTGGTGCTTAACTTGTTGGTAACCGATTTTGATAGGTTAAAATGTCACGTGTCGTTTTATAATTGGTTTTACAAAAAATTAAAATTAAAAAATGAAAAAAAAACCACTAACCACCCCTCTACCCACCGTGAAACCCTAACCCTTACCCTAACCCCATCGAAAATCGGTTGGCCTCCACCATGAACCCCCTGAAACGGCTGGTCGGAATCAATAACCACGATCAAATCCACCATCGAAATCAACCCCCTGACCCAAACCCACACCCGAAACCACCACAACCAAATACCCCCGAAACTCCACCGAAAACCGCTATAAACTCCCAATACTTCGCCGAAAATCACCATAAACCCCCGAAACTCCCCCGAAAACACCCATACAACCTTGAAACTCCACCGAAAACCCCCTCTAACCACTCTAGCACTAATTTTTTTTCCATGGAGGCGGATACACAATGCTCCGTGCATCCGTTTTCTTTTTAAAAAGGTGGAATGAACATTTAGTTGTTCATTAAAGAACATACAATTATTTTATAAAGAATATCTAGCTATTTTATAAAGAACATCACATATATTTGTTTTGTAATGAACATATAGGTATTTTGTAAAAAAAAAAAATAAAAAAAAAAATCAAACTTTATGTTCTTTATATATATAGCCTAAAAATGCATTTTTAGTTAAAAATCCAAACCCGATTAAAAAAAAGCTCGAAAAGCCCACTATATTATCGGGTTAAGGCACGAGATATTATGTTAAGTCCCGGTTCGACCGGATTTTTTGATCACCTATAATAAAAATTTATTGTAATGAACATTATTTTTTATTCAACCACCCTAATCTAAAGACACAATTCAAATAACATTTCAAATTAACAATTAACATTAAATTTCAAATAAAAGTACATTATACTGACAATCAAAGAACATGATCGATAATAAAGAACATTATTTAACATTCTTTAATATGTTATTTTCAATTAAATGAATGTTCTTTACATTTCTACAAAATGTTTATTACATTTCTATAACATGTTCCTTTTACTTTAAATAAATGTTCTTTATATTTTTATACAATATCCTTTCTAGTTTTTCTAAAAGAGATGCACTATACAGATTGTGTATCCGCGTGAAGGAACCATGCATTGCTCTAGCACTAAACATAAAACATGTTCCACCAGACCAACAATTGCTGCTGTGGTGCTGGTGCATGGTGCAAGTGTGCAACCGTGCATCGCAACTCAAACACACGATATCATATTAAAACAGTTTTTCTTCACTATACCATCGACTACATCGAATGACATTGCGACATGTCAGCAAAACCACGTATTTTAACACTTTTAGCACATTCCCAATTTCCCACTCAATAATCCCATCCCCCCCTTTTTCTTTCTTTTTTTTTAAAAAAAATTTTCTGCTTCTCTTTCGTTCTTCACATTTCGAAAATTCTCCCCTTTTAATTCTCAATCTGCAACTTCAGAGAATTCAACAATGGCGGCTTCAATCAATCAATTAGGGTTTGTAATTTTCGCTATGATTCTTGTTTCATGTTCAATCTCAGCAATGGCGGATTCGGAATCAGCTTTTATTGTAGCTCACAAGAAGGCTACCCTCACAAAGCTCACCAATGGCGTTGAACGTATCTTCGTTTCTATCGACCTCTACAATCGTGGATCTTTGTATGTGATTTCTCTTTTCTACTGATTCTGCATTTGCTGCTATGATTTTAGATCTTGTTTGCGTTTGAATTTCCATTGTTATGAATTTCATAATTGAATTTTGTTTTCTGTGTTTGATTTTGATTTTTGTTTGCATGTTGATTTGGAGGAAGTAATACACTAATACTATTGGAAATGAATTTCGGTTTCAATTGCGTATTTTAATATTGAATTTTCTGCACTTGTTTGATTTTGTGAGTTTGCTGTTTGAGAAATACTGTAAGTAGTTTATTTGTAAGGTTGAACTGCTATTCGTAATCCTGTAAATTTTAATAACACCTGCATTTTTTTCTTTCGAGAAGCATTGTATGATATGAATTACTGCATTAGCTAGTATACTGAAAAACTGTGATCATATATATGAATAAATTATTGTCATTGTTACATTGAGTATGTAACGGTTATGAGTGCTAGCGGAAGCAAATAAATTCATGGACGATAAACCCTAAAACCCAGAAAATAGGACAACAGAGGAGTATAAGAACCCTGAATTACCAGAGTGTAAGATAGTTTTACAACTCTCAGGGTTTATGAAAAATTTCAGAAAGATCTGATTGGCTATTTGGCTTGTGATTACCTCGTAATTGGCTCTTGTTGTGAATGCCCAAAATCGTATTTCTATTTAGATCCCAATGACTGTAATAGGCTCTTGTGAGCTTCATAGAGTATAAGCTCTCTTGGGAAATTGATTTAAGCAGATTGATTTTAGCACACACTTATATGAGAGAGCATAGAAAACTCTGCTCCAACATAAAATGTGTGCCAAAATCATTTCCCGCTCTCTTGTGTATGTTAGGGGCTTTTTTCTTTCCTTTCTCCCATTCTTATTTCTTTCATAAGGAATAAGCGTGTTGTAAATATGGTTTGTAGTTTTGATAATGTAATGAGCAAAATTTACATTTTAGTTCCCCAAGTAATTATAATAGAATTGCATTTTTGTTAGACCTTATGGTATTAATTCATAAATGGAATTGCAATTACCTGAATTACAAGTCTGTTAAAAATGAGTCTTAGCTGTTTTGACGTGAAGCCTTAACAGATTCTAGAAGCAAAAAAAATTGAAATTTGGCTCCATCTCACTTGTTTATTTTTATACACGATTCTAGAAACATTCATTACATTTGGCAATTGATTAAAAGTGAGTTTTGCTATGGAGCTCATTCCTCTCTCCCTAAGTAGAAGTCTGATATGAGTTAATTTTCTATAATTATGTTCAGAACTGTGTACGATGTAAGCCTTGTTGACAAGAGCTGGCCTGTGGACTCTTTTGATTTAGTCAGTGGAAACTTTTCAAGATCATGGGACAGCCTCGATGCGTGAGTTTTAATTTTTTTAAGCATATTTCTCTGCGAATCGCTAAGTCATGAGTCTGCTCACTGATCATTATTATTCACAGTGGAGCTATTGTTTCTCACTCCATTGAACTAGAGCCAAGAGTAAAAGGTCTATTCCAGGGTAGCCCAGCCGTGATTACATTCCGCATTCCCAACAAGGCTGCACCCGTGGTATGCACTTCTTGAAATGCTAAATAGACCGTTGTTTTTCTTGTTTGCTGACCGTTGTAGCTTATAATCTATATTCTTTTCAGGTTGCATATTCTACCCCCATTTACCCATTGAACATGCTTGCAGATACTACACCAGAGAACAAGCTTGAATTGGTAATCTTTTCTCAAAATTCGTAGGCGTATCAAGTTCTTTGTGTTTGTGTTCATTTGCCTTCCATATCTGTTTAAATTTGTTTTTTGTTCATCTTTTTATAACTTATGTGGGCATTGACTAAGCTGATGTATCCATGTTTTTCTTTGTGAATAATTTGTTGCTGCTGGTGGGCTGGCGTTTACCAACTTTCTCAGGCAAAGGTTAGTTTCATGCTTCTAAGTACTACGTGCAATAACTTCCGAAGGAATACCTCTAGTCTTTAAATTTTTGATGGATTATCAAGCTTTAAATACTAACTTCCAAATCCCCTGTTTGCATTCCTATGTTTGAAGAAGTTTTGAACTTTGAATTTCTGATTAGTCTTTCAAGTGTGCATGGGTTGGTCACCAAATCTTAATAATGATCTACCTTACTGGGTAAAAGCAAAATAGGTTGCTCTTATCCACCTTTGTTGTTTTAGATGTCATTTGATGTATTATGTATATACAAATTTAAGTGTTGAATGACTCGAGTACTTTGTGACTTTGTTTGGAAATAAGGCATAGCTCTGTGCTACATCTCGTTTTCTCCTTGGCTCTTCAGTTTTGTCAGTGCTGACTAATGAACAAGAATTCTAGTGTTGTTGAGTTTTCTAGTGGTTTCCAAAGGTTTGGTTGCCCTCACAAGACCATACACATGTACACTTGGTACACTACTAATCATGCTTGAATTGTCTTTTAAAAGATTTTTTGGAGGACAAGGTTTATAATAACCAAATAAAGTTTAGATTAGGGAATGCTTCATGTAGTGTTCATGCTGCAATCATGCAATGTCTTCTCCTGCTTGTAGACGCTCCAAAGTTCAAGATTCTATGACATTATCGTAGATGTTCTTGTCAATTGTTTTCTTATACTTTTCTTCTTTTTTTTGCAGAGTCTTCTTGCTCGATTTGGTGCACAGTTTTCAGCAGTCTCTCTTGTAGCTTTGTTTGGATATATGATTGCTACTCCTAAGTCGAATGCTGCTAAGGCACAAAAGAAGAGGCGATGAAGCTAAAGCTCTAATACGATACAAAACGACTAACTGTTACGGCTTTGCAGCTGGCTTCTTCACTTGATACGAGTCTTAATTCTCTTCAAAGATACCAAAAATTAGCCATTCTGGCTTCGGTGGCTTCTTTCTGACTCAGATTGAAGGCTGCCTGTTGTAACTTTTCCTCATGTCCTTAAGATAGTGTTTTCAGTTTTAGTCTTACCTTTTACTCCCTCCGTCCGATGATATAGTTCTTGTTTTCTATTTTGGGGAAACAAAATAATGTTTCTATATTTTTGAATAGTATGCAAAGACTATTATACCCTCATTTTGTTAACTTTATTTATTATACAGCCTAAATTACTCTTAAATTTTGCATATGTCATGTATTTTTTTTTCTCTCTCTAAGGGCCTTTCACATTTACTGAGCTGAGTTGAATTAAACTGATTGGAGCTGAATTGCACTAAACTGAACTGATTGGAGCTGAACTGAACTCAACTGAAATGAATATTTTATAAGAGAGGGAAATTAGGAACTGAACTGATTAGAGCTGAACTGAACTGAAATTAAGTAAATGTGAACAGGCCTTAACTCTTGTCTATTACGGAGTATTGTACTTTTCACTTTTATTAATGTACTTTATTCACTTTCTTCTCTTATTTCTTAAATATCGTGAAAAACACAAAAAAATAACTATATTATGAAACGGAGGGAGTACATAGTTCACTTAAATCAAGAACTGCTCAGGAGGCTTTATTTTAAGAAAGCTGCCTCAAGTTTGAAATGCATGCGCAAGCATGTTGCAGCTCTTGTGTGTCTTTTATGCCGTTTTTAAATGTTTCTTCTGGTAATGTTGTGGATAATACTCTCTCCGTTTCCTTTTATTAAGTGCCTGTTTTTCATATTCTACAAGTTGTAACACAAATGAAGTGTAAAAAGCATCCTTGAAATCAGTGGTGAAATTAGGGGGTGGCTGGGGGGTAGGGCTGACAATCCCTGACCCGACCCGACTCGATAATCCGAACGAGCCCGACCCGAAGTTATTGAGAGAAACCTTAACCCAACCTGATCCGAACCCGAATAACCCGAATTTGACCCGATTTGACCAAAATTTCATATTTCATAATAATATTAAGTTTTACACTATTTTTTATTGTTTCTAAGCATAACCTAAAATTGACCCAAAATCTGACCTGAACCCGAACCACTGACCCGAATTGCCACCCCTACTGGGGGGTAGCCATGGCCACCCCTTTAAATGGTGAAGTTTGTTAAATGTTGAATAAAATATAGTGGTAAACTTGGCAAAGTTAGTTTCTTGGTAGGGTTCAAATAGTGTAGAATTTTTTGCTGAGCTGTGTCCGATCCTTGCAAAGAACATTTACATTGTTTTCTTTGGATTTCAACAAAACTTTAATTCATTTTGTCTTCTTATCTTCCTCTTTTATTTTCATTTTTCCTAGCAATGCATATGACCTTTTTACTCTTGGTAAGAAATACAACTGAAATTTATAATTATGGCCCCCTCTATATAAATATTCTGGTTCCGCCAATGTCTGAAATTATTATAAAAAATTTAATATTTTATTTCCTGATAGAGACAATAATGAATAAACATGTGTGTAGAAGTATATAACACATGCACATGGGTACCAAATTTGAAAGGTTTTTTTTGGGAAGTTTAATACTTCCTAATTTTTTTAGTTGACACGTTTTTTTTAGTCACTTTTGTCAATGTACAAATTTAATCATTAATATCTTTAATTTACGATAAGCAAAACTTTGATATTTTAGAAAATATATATCGTGACATTTCTAACAAGATCTCACATCACTATATTTTTTCATTACATATAAAGCACAAAATATGGTCAAAGGAAAGTGTGTGAATATTGCTAAAGTCAAAACGTGTCAACTAATAAAAAATGAAGGTAGTATGTCAAAGGTATAAAGTGGGGGTGTGTAGGTAATTTATACATGAAACAAATTAAAAATAGACACTTAATTTTGGGACACCTAAATATAAAAAAAAACACTTAATAAAAGGACAGAGGGAGTAATGTCTTTTGCAAGACATAAAGGCCTTTTATCTATCTAGATTCCTAAAGAACAACAGCAACAAATAGGCCTTTTGTGTGACATAAATGCCCTTTTATCTATCTTGATTCCTAACCAACAACTAGGGGTGTGCATAAATGGACCTAGATCAGAAAACCGATCAGGATCGGATCGGAATTGAACCGGACCGGTTGATTCCGATTCGGTCTTCATTCCTCAGAAATTGGAGATTTTGGGTTTTCGGTTCGGCCCGGACCGAAAAGTGTATTTTTGTAATTATTTGGGTGAAAATTTTAAATTTTATGTTTAAATTTCTACAAAATTTAGGTACTTGTAATTTATAAATTCTAGGTGCAATATAGGAAAGCACACTAACAAAAATACGACGTTAAAAATGTATGTATATATTAAGATAATAAAATGAAAAATATAAAAAAATAATGTAACCGGTCCAAATTCGGACAGGACCGGAATAAACAAGTCTGGACTAAAACCCGGACTGGTTGATTACGACCCGGTCCCGATCCCCAAAAAAATTCGATTTCGGGTTCCGATCCGGTCCAGTTTTTGACCGATGCACAACCCTACCAACAACAACAACAACAACAATAATAATAAAACGATTTGTCTAACGTATGTCCAGGGCCATTTTAATCAATTTAAGGGCCCCTTGCTATAAATGATTATAAGCCTTCCAAATTAAAAACCACACAAATTTAAATATGAAATTATGTTACCTAGTTTTCTATTTATGTACTTATTATTTTTATTTTTTTTCATTTATATGTTAAAATATAAATACTTATACTCGTATTAATAAGTTTACAATGTTGATAGCATATCATTTCTTCAACGTGAACTAAATGAATAACATGTACTTTGTAAACTTATAATCATATTACTGCATATTAAGTTTATGAATGTCATATTACTCCTTATTACATTTATGAATTGATAAAAGACAATTTTGACTTTTACCACCTCAAAAAAACGACTTATTGGTTTTTACCACCTGCATAAAAAAAGTTTTATTTTACCACCACATAAGAAAATAAAAGTTGGCTTTTAGTCCTTTTACCACCAATCACCTCCAATTAACGGCTTCCATCCATAAACCCATTTGTGGGGTCTATCATGTACACGTGTCACCACATTATTGGGTAAAATAAAAAAAATTTTAAAAAATAAAGAAACCTAGCCACCAACCGGACCAACTACCAACCCCACCACCAACTCGCCACACAGCAGCCACCGCCCACCGCACAGCCACAACCACCGCACAACGCACACAGTCGTCGCATAGCCACCACACCCACAACGCACCTGCATAACCACCTGTAGGGAATATTTCAAGCATCCCACATTTAGCCCCACTGTGATCATACACTTAAGTATCGTGGCGTCCAAAGGGAATGAAGCTAGAGCAAAAGAGTCGCTAACAAATTTTAGGAACTTGTAAACCGTTCACAGGGTGAAGGTTACACCCCTTCATGATCCATGAGATCTCTAACTCCATAGTGATCTGGAACCATGAATGGATATTCGGATATGAAGGTACAAATCCAACCTAAAAAAGATTGAACCTGCCCTAAAAATAGGCCTCTACTTTATTCTTCTCATATTCATGTTCGCTTTCTGACTAACATACAAACAATATATTAATCCTAAACCTGTTTAATCTCTGTTGGTTGAATATTAATGCACAAACAATTCTATTATTGGCGATCACTTGAATTAAAATCACATTAGCCTAAACAAGATTATTAAATATCTTATTGAGCGTGATTACAAGTACAAATTCCCTTTAATCCTGCAAGAGATGGCGTGATCAGACAATAATAACAACATAATAATAACAATCATCATCATTAATATAATATTCTCATCAAAGCATAATAATATTAGCAGGATCCTAGGCATGATACTAACATGATTAATAACAAATCCTAGCATGTCACTAAACATTAAAGATCATAGCTTTATCCCTAACATGATAGAAGAAAATAGGAGGCAACCTAAACATGATACTAAAAAGAAATAAATAACATCCTGACATGATCCTAGGAATTAATATAATTTAAATATGCTTTCTAAAGAAATATAGCAATAAAACAACTTACTTTGTTGCCTCGTATCTCTTTCTATCAAAACAATACACACGTTAGTAACTTCAAGGAAAATATTAGATCTAACCATTAATTTAAAAAATTGAAATAGGGATTTGAGACCAAACTCTCAAAAAGTATCAACCTTTCACGTCTAGGGCAAAGACAACTTTGAGCTTGGCTAAATGTGTCTAAGACTCGTGAATGCGTTATTTTCATTTGAAAAGGAAAGGCTTAGAAAGAGGGATCGGAGAAATAAAAACTATGAGCTTAAGAGAGAAAAGAATTAGAATTAGATGATTGTGAATGAATAAAATGGGGAAATACGACCCTATTTATGGAGAAAAATAATTCGAAAACGATTTAAAAAAGATCAAATTCGATTCGGAGTAAAACTGCTTCGGTCGCGACGTGACAGGGTTCGGCGCCGCGCGATCGACAATCTCTGTCGCAGCGCGACAGAGTCTTGTCGTTTCACGATGGAGAACGCTTTTTCTAAAATCCGTATGGAATCTTTAATCTAATTAGACTCGATTAATTAACGTCCGTATTTATCTTTTAAAACCAGATTTAATTCTTTAAAAACACTTGTTTTAATCCAAATAGAATTCTTTATTTTCTAAAAGATATAATTATTAATCCTAATCCCATTATAATTCAAAATAACCATCTAGATTATTCTAAAATATTAAAATAAATCCTAATAACTTTAGTAATTATAATTAATGGGGCATCCACTAGATCATTGGGCCATAAAACCATTTCAGGTCCAATTTAGTATTTTGGTCATAACTTCCTCATTATTCATCGGAATTGAGCTTATAATATATCGTTGGAAAGCTCTTTTCGAGCCCAATATAACTACACCATTATTGTACTTATTATAGACCAAACTAAATTATATTGGACGTTTTCATAAATAAAGTACATTTTCGAAAACAGAAAGAAGATATTTTTATTAAAACAACCGCATCACAAGACTTTTCACACTTTCACTTCGTTCGATAATCAACGCGAAAGGTACTCATCAGTGGGTTTGGTGTTTAGGGATACACAATTAGGTGTCTACACCACCGCATCCACAACGCCCGCACTGGCCACCGCACCGCACAACGCACCGCCCATGAAGCCCCTTCCTACCAAATTCCGACCACTCCTAATACCTTAGCCACCACAAAATTTCGCAGACCTAAAACATTAACCACCA